GAAAATTATTAATAAAATAAGTTAAGAGGGTAATAAGGACCTTAGTATATTATAAGTGTGTATTTTAGATTTCGGACATAGGTTTAGGGGGCACTTGTGCATTATCCTTTTTTTTTCTAAAAGTATATGTATGTACATATCTAATACAAAATGAAAAAAAAATAAAAACCAAGAGCGGGTGGATTACATAGGTTGGGGTAGAATTTTTATTTTTGTAAAAACAAAATAATATAATTTTTTTTTGAGGGGGGGGGGGAGGGGAGGGTTACGTAAAGGAGTAGTGGAGTGGGATAAGAAAAATAACTTAAATTTCTTTTTAAAAAAAAAATATTTTTATATAGATAGTAATACTTTAATCTTTAATTTTTAATTAATATTAATTGTTTGTTATTTAATTTTTTGTTAAGATAGAATATTTTATCCTTGTGGATGTCTAGTTTCAGAATTTTTTCAGAGAGTATATTACACACACCATTTAGATATGTTTCCTAAACTAAAAAGTGATAGTATAGATATAAAACTCACACTCTCAATATTTTAGTAAACTAAAAATAAATAAAAATTTAAGTGTGATTTAGACACTTATATCAAAAATTTATGTATATTGACCAGATTTGTATACAGCAAAAATATTGTATCAAAATTTTCATAGCAAATCGAACTGTCTTGGGTCCGCACCTAATGGACCTAAAAGAACATTGAGTGCAGTCTCGTGGGTGCGTAAAATGTGTAAACATAGCATGTTCATCACTACCTTCACATTAATTTTCAATTTCAATTGACTATTCCAATGGCCGTATATGTGTAACACCTGATATGTCTATTTCATATCAACGGAAGTGTTGAATAACTTTTCAATTTGACGTGAAATATTAATTTTATCATCAAATTATTATATTAATAACCTTAAAAATATTTCTTTATTTAGCGAAGTGAACTTAGATACAAATAAAGTGACAAATAAAAGGGAAAAAAGTCTGAAAAATATTTCAACTTTGAACAAAATTGTTGTTACGATATCAAATTTTATGAAGGATTTTTTACCACCAAACTATCTAATAGTGTATTTTAATGGTACATATGTGCCCACGTGGAGTCAAGGGCACATTACTGTTTATTATTATGCAATATTTTTTATGTCAATGTGGGTATAGATAAACCTTTAAAATACATTATTAAATAGTGCAGGGTAAAAAGTCCTTTCCAAAGTTTGATATTGTAACAACAATTTCGATCAAAGTTCATATATATATTTCAGACTCTTTTCCTCACATAAAAACAAGTAAAGCGACAAATAAAAATTAAAATTAATATTTAAAACACTAAACAATTAAAAAATAATGGAAAAAATATTTAATAAGTATTACTGCAAAGATTTTAAAATTTTCTATACGTAACCTTGTAAATTAATGCATTTCCTTTTAGCTAGCAAGCAATTTTATTTTATTTTCTCTTTTAGTGGATTGGAGTTGGGATTTTTTTAGAATTGTGTACCAGAATAAATTAGAAATGTAATTCAAATACCCATTTTTTTATGTGTAAACGTAATTACTACACGAAAGTAGACTATCCGTGATTGAGAGATGTCATCTAGTTTGGCCTAATTCATGTGTTTAGGTTTTGGTCATTAAATTATATATTAATTTCTACCAAACTCAAATTTAGGCCATGGCCGTGACAAGTTCGATCATTAGATTAAGGATGTGTTTGACATGGAGCAATGTTTTTGAATTTTCTCATTTTTGTTGTTCAAAATTTTTAGAAAATATTTGCTTGAAAACAAGTTCTGTAAGAAAAATATGAGAAAAATGATATCTTCTATGCATTTTTGATGATTAACAAAGTAAAATGAAATAGGTAAATCAGCTTGGTACACGGATGCACGGTCTCAACAAGTTAAATTCGTAGCAAGATCAACTAATAAATAAAGAGAAGTGTGCAATAATCAAGGATGGGATGGTAATTTCATGATAAACTCAAGGAAACAAACATGTGTTTGAATTAAAGAGTTGGAGTGCAATTACAACACAAGATTGGACGAGCTTGATCTAAAGAACTAGGGAATTACAATTCAAGTAAAACTTTAGATTAAAAGAGTTTGAATTGATGAGGAGTTTGTACATGTGTTGAATTAAAGAGTTGGAGTTTGACTTTAATATAAAAGAAATAATAAGTTTGTTTTGAAGGGGATTAAAGAGGCAAAAAGTTGAATTGTGAGTTTTACTTAAATATAACTCTATGCCAAGAGAGTTGAGTCAATGTGGAGTTTGAAGCGAAGAATAACTCTAAATAGAAAAAAAATCGTTCAGAATATTTTTGCACTTACTTAGCAAAAAGGGTAATTTTTGCAAGTGCTACTAATGAATTTAAGGAACACATGATCAAAAAAACTTATTCTATTACAGAGTTGATGTATTAGAAGTTTTTCTTTGTGATATAGTCTTGATGTACTCATAGTTCATTGAGTTATAAACAAAACTAGGAGTGTTGCCTTCAAGTTGGGATAACTCTAAGACTTGGGAACACATATCTTGAGTGGTCAGTGTCGAAGTTTAGGAATCAGAGTTAGTTCCCATTCAAAAGTTGTAATTTGAAAGTAGAGTTTTTAATATCTTAAACCGTTGAGGCTTAGAAATTTAGTGAGATTAGAGTTAAATCATGCAGAGTGCAAATCATGTTTTCTTACACCTTTTGAGTTGAGCATTTTCCACACGAAAATATTGTGTTCTGTATTTATTGTTTTTACTACTTTGTTGAAACACGTTGAATAACATGTTTCACGCTTGGCCAAAAGTTAAGTTAATTAAGTAACTGAATTACCTGCATAGAATAACAAAATCCCTAATAAAAGTAGAGAAAATAAGTTTCAACATTATATTCGACATTAATTGAAATATAGTTGTGTGAATTCATATCCGGAGTATCACATAATGCAATAATGACTGGGTGTATCTCTCAATGTAAGGGTAGAAATTTGAATGATATATTTTTGTTGTTTTTATTTTCTTTCTAAAATTAGATAACAAACTTCCCTAAGCTGTAATTGGTAGCACTTTTAACATTTTAATTGATTTTATATATATATAGAGAGAGAGAGAGAGAGAATTTTAAACCTATAATATTAAAATTTTAATCGCTAGAGATAACTTAGAATCGATGATTCATTATTAGATAAATCACAACATTATAGATGTCTCTAGAAACGCTTATACATTATCAAAATATTTGTACCATTTTTCGTGAATGTTATTTTTTAATCATAACGGCGATACCCTCTCCGCTTCATAATATTTGATTTTTGTTGACACTAATACACTCCATAAAAAATCTTTTATTATAAAAGTGTATTTTATTAAACAAATTTTATTATTGGTACTCTGAAACTTTAAATTTGATTATTATAACTTTATGTAATTACTTAATACTAAAAGTTTTTAGTATTAAAAAAGGTATAGAACAAAACCCTATTTATGTAATTAATGTACCAAAGAGAAAAAAAAGGATTGAATTTAATAACCCAACTGCCAACTAATTCTCCCACTCTATAAAAGCCCAAAAGGTACTCAACACTTAGGCAACATACATTTTCTTTTTCTCTAAATATATACATCTCTTTTAAGATTTTTCTTTTTTATAAAAAATGGGTGGGAAAATTGCATGCTTTGTGGTTTTGTGCATGTTGATGGTTGTACCGTATGCATCTGGGGCGTTTAGCTGCGGTCAAGTTCAAGCCGGTGTGGTTAAGTGTCTCCCTTATTTGCAGAATCGCGGCCCCGTGGGACAGTGTTGTGATGTTGTTAAAGGTCTCATTACCTCTGCTAAGACAACACAGGATCGTAGGACTGCATGCTCTTGCCTTAAATCAGCTGCTTCTATTATTAAAGGCATTGATATGAGCAAAGCTGCTAGTCTCCCTGCTATGTGTGGTGTCAAAAGTCCCTTCAAGATTAGCCTCTCTACTGACTGCACTAAGTACGTTACGTTCATTTTAATTTTATTAAGGGTAAAAATGACTAGTTTAAAATATTACTAGTAAGTTTGTTGGCTAATGTTGATTTAATTTAATGTGCCAATGCAGGGTCCAGTGATAAAATTGGTGTTACACGTCCTATCATGGTGGCAAAGAATAAGATGCTTATGGATTGAGTTTAATTATGGTTATGTCTTTTTTTTTTTGGGTTCCATTATAGTGGAGTTATAATAAAACTTTGTTGGTTGGTTGGTCTGTAATTTAATTTTAGCTAAATGAAACTTTGAGCCAACTAAAAGTATTTGTGTAGGACTTTACCCTTTAATTCAATGTCTCTTTCATTTTCTTCATATAATATCCAACCCATTTGGTCCTTTGGAGACTTGATCTTATTTGTAACTATAAAACATGTAAGGATTAAATTTTAATTCAATTATGTCGCTCCGCACGCTTGAGAAGAAAGAGTAATTTCTACAAGAATTTTTGACCAAACTAAGTCATTATATAAAGCAATTCACTAAATAAATATATTTTTTAAAATTTTTACAAAACTAGTATAAACGTATTTCACAATACCGTATTGATAGACGTTACTGTAAGTAACGTTTTACTCCTAAAACGTTACTCACAGTAACAATTTATAATACGTCAAATTTTACTAAAAGCGGATAGTCTTTTATTAGTGCAGTTGTGTTAATCTTCAGTTGTGCATGCTGTCCAATAATGTGAATTTCCTTTCATTTAGCTATTGTAATATAATTCAAGAAAGAATTTTTTTTTTAAGTCTAACTCCTAGAAATCAAAGAAATAGGTCCATTTCGTTGCCCTTCTCTACTTAACAATACGGGACTTAGTTTAGTGGCAAGTAACTGTAAAGCAAATAACATGGCCACCATAGAAATTAGAATGGAAGGACATGCAAAGTGAAGTTAAAAGAAAAACAACTTATAATTAGATAGGGAAAAACTTTTAAATTGAAGGTAAAAGTTATATATGAAACAACTTAGAATAGAGTACAAAACGTTACTCATTAACATTTTATTCTACTGTGAGTAACGTATATCAATCTAACGCTGTCAGCATTTTAAAAATAAAATATACTCTAAAATGTTACTATAAAATACGTTTATACTAGTTTTATAAAATTTTTGATAAATATATTATTTTGATGAATTATTCTATATAATAACTTAGTTTGATGTGTGTGGGCACCGGAGAGAGCAACGAGGTCTTCCTCATCCAAACCTTGCTTCTTAAAGTTGTCGACAAGTGTAGATAAGTCCCTGAACGGTGTTGGAATGTCATTGTCAGCAATGGTTCTACTTGCAGTAGTAGAATCCCTTCTTCCTAGTTCCACTTCCCATGTTGGTCCATGTAACTGTGTCAATGTAACAAAATACTTATCAGTTCAATTATACACTAAATTAACTTTAGCTTACATATATTAGGTGAAAAAATGAGTGATACGCACAGCAACAACAGAGTCACAAGCTGCAACAGCCAATATGTCCGCACAAGATATAACTGGACGTCCACAAACTTTATCAACCTCTGATTTGATTCTATCGATCACCTCAAATCCTCTAGCAGAATTGTTATTAGCAAGAGCAGTCTTCTCACTATCAATAGTAGCCGTTTGATCAAGAGGAATTGAAGCGTCACAACCCTACGTTATTATAAGTATAATTAGTAACAACATTTCAAGCAATTACCAAACGTTAACTAGCTAGTTAGGAGAGAAAGAAATTAAACTCACGTTAACAAAACAATCGTGAAAATGTAAACGTAGCAAAGAGGTGCCCATACGCCTCTCTTGGCTGATTGCATCCTCAACAACCCGTCTAATGGTTGGTAAAGCTTGGGGACAAATATCATCGTAGAAATCATCTGATAAATCCGAAAAAGCCGTGTGTGCTAGACAAAATATGACTAACACATGAAGAAATACGAAGCTATAACTTGAAGCCATTTTCTTTTTCGTACATTTTGTTTATTGTGTTATGATTTTTATAATGATGAGATTAACACAAGTGTGACGCTTGGCCTATTGGTGAAAAAGACATAATTTTCTCAGTCTGCCCATGTTTGAATTCCCATTCTCACATTTTGTTTAAATTTATTTTATCTTAAATTCACTTTGTGAAAATTTTGGGCACGCTACGGTTTCGCATGCATGGACATCATATATATATATATATGAACTGTAGTAAATTAAACTTAATTAGACTGATAATCCACTAGGAAATTATCTTTTCTCGTGTTTGAAAAAATTCTTTCTAAGACAAAAGGTTCTATTTATTTTTTTACCATGCCGAATATCTTCATCTTTTTTTCTTTTTTCTTTTGAAAAAAATCCGAACACACAAGAAAAAGAGGCAAAAAGTTATTGATTTATTATTTTTATTATGATCGATAAAATATTTGACATCTATCATATTTTTATTCTCAATTAAGTGGCATTAATATATTAAAGGTGAAATAGAAGTATAATAAATGCATATAATAATGATAAATTTGTGCAATTCACTAATCTAAGAATAGACTTATCTTGTTGATGATTATACTGCTAATGCAAAAGAAAAATAGTCATGATATTTGAGATAATGTTTAATTACTAGCACAAAATTATAACTTATTGTTTATTTTTTTTAAAATACTAATACTTACTATTTATAATATTAAAAAAAAGTATAACTTATCTAAATCCCATAGTGTAAGATTTAAATTACATTTTATCCATTTTTTTTTTAAATTTACGAAAATCCCTTAAAAATAATGTTATTCGGATACATAGCAAATAAGTTGGATACATTAAATATGATACATTAAAACAAATTCAGTTACACTTTCAAAGGAAAGAGAATAGAAAATTGATTGTTAGTTCCTCAAATCACGCTAATTTAATTGATTTCAATCTCTTCAAAATCTTATCAGATTTAATCAAATCAAAATTTAAATTTTCTTCTCCAATTCTCATCCAAATCTGTCCGTCTTAATTCAAAATTTAAATTTTTTTCTCTCAATTCTATTTCAAATTCTTATGGTTTCAAACAATTAAAATTTTCATCTTTCAATTTTTTCCCCAATCATAATAGATTTTAAAAGTTAAAACAATAGCCAATACATGATCATGAATACGTTCAAGAATCTGGAAAATCAAGGTGAGTTATGAATGATACATAAGTGGGATTTTAAATTTCTTCTTCCAATTAGTCGAAGATCCTTTCAATTTTGATTCAAAATCACAAAAACAATGAGAAGGTACATCATGAATATATTGATTTTGCTAAGACAATGAAAAATCTGGAAAAAAAAAATCTGACATTCAAAAATCTAGAAAAAATATGAGTCTCGATTTGCAATGTATAAAATAGATCAGAGTTTTAATTGCATAGTAAAATAGATCAGACAATCAGAGGTATGAAACTATATATATTGTGTTGTTAATTCGATTTTTATTTATATTTTTGAGATGACCATTCAATCGTGATACATTAGTATTTGTGTTTCTTGTATAAATTGATAAGTATTATACTCCTATTAATTAGATACATCAAATAAGTAATCTTGGAATTAAAGATCAACAAGTCACTGTGTGATACATGTAATATTAATTTAAATTATTGTTTCATTACCAAATATCTAACATGATACATTACTATTTGTATATCTTGTTGTTTGTGGAATACTATACATTATAGATGATACATTATGCATATATTTTGTTGTAAAAGCATCAAGATGTTCAAGAATGAGGTATGTATCAGATTAAAGTTATATTTTGTACCTGATATAAGTATATAAGTTTAGTTGTTTGATTGTTTATGATTGATGCATAGAAATAACTGTTTTACGGAATGTATCACTAATTTCTTTAATGTTAACAGGTTTTTGAATCATCAGAGTATCTTTATTCAGTCTATGATTCTGAAAGAAAGATATATTGTTTGCCATGAAAGATAAATATGCAATTGTGGAAGATTTCAAGTTGATCAGATGCTTTTTTCTATAATTTTTTTTTGTTGATAATAATGTATCGGATACAATAAGGTTGTGAAAGAATAGTGTGTGTAAGCTGAAATAAAGTGTATCTATAAAGGTATCATTTAGTAGTTGATTATGTATTTGATACAATAAGATTATCAATGTTTACGTATTTATGTATCAAGATATTTAATTTGATACATAGTGTTTTTATCAAAATAAACGAGATACATTGAAAATTAAGTATCAGATGCGTGAAACAAACAACGATTGTAGCAATAATGTATCAAATCAATAATAAAACTAACAAAACTAATTTAAGAATCAAAATAAATGAGATACATTGTGTCTATGGCAGTGATAATCGTGTAATGACTGATCCAACTATTTTTTTCTTTTTTTGAACTTGTATTTCAATGTAGATTTAAAATTCGAACATGTACAAACATTGCAAATCAAATATGACTTTCTAGTTTTTGATTTATAACAAAAGATTTTTAATAATATGAATGAAATAAGAAAAATATTATTTAATAATAAAATAATCAAATATGAAAAAAAATCCTAATATAATTAAATAACAAATATTCTTCCATAATATAGTAATTTGTGATTGATAAGGTATATCAATCAATTGATTTTCTTTCTATTAGTTGATTTTTATTTTTGTTGTTATTATTTTTCCTATTTCTTTCTCGACGTTATTCTCAAATCTCAATCATTTGTTATTTTTTTTAAAAAAAAATTCATCACCAAAAAGTAAAAGAGTTTTTCTAAATCTTGATTCAACATATAATTTTTTTATGATTCAATCAATTTTAATTTTTTTGTTTTTTATAAGTTTTTTGCTTTTATCTTATTTTTTCATTTTCTTAATTTGATTTTTTTTTTTATAGAAATAACGATTGATTTTTATCAACTTTGATGTTATTTTTATTTTTTACTATTATAATCTGAAATTCTATTGTTGAGAAATAAAAAGTTATTTTTTGAATTTTTGATTCCATTATTGGTGTGGTATAGGGAATGATTTGTGGATTGAAATAAGGAAGGAATAAATATTAATTTTAGGAGTTAGGATTTATGTAACAAATGTTTTGAATTTGGGAATAAAATAAGGGATTTTGAAAAATTTTAAAATTGATAGGAAATAATGGAGATTATGAAAAGAAAAGATGTGTAAAAAAAATTAAGATCATGTGCAAATTTTTGGTAGTAATACTTTTGGACAAATCTTTACCCAAAAGACACTCCTTTAGGATCTGAGAGCTCGGCTTATTATACTAATGGGCTTTTAAATAGTTAGTCTGACAACTCTTTACGGGCCGGCGATATATACTATTTTTAAGTGGCTATATAGCCATTTAAAAATAATTAATTACTCTCCATTGATATAGTTTGATGATTACAATTTTCAGCTATATGTTATATGGAGGAGAGAGGAGAGAGGCGAGAGAGAAGGGAGGGGGGGAGAGTGGGAGAAAGGTGAATTGTATATGTATATTGGTTAGACAATTGTATATTATACATATGTTGTATATATGGCAAGAGAGATTGGGAGAGGGAGGAGAGAGGCAAGTGAGACTGGAAGACAGAGGAGAGAGGCGAGCGAGATGGAGAGAGGTAGGAGAGAGGACAGAGAGTTGGAGAGAGGTGAACTGTATATGTATATAATTGTATATAACTGTATATTATACATATACATTTGTATAAATGACAAGCAATATTGGGAGAGGAAGGAGAGAGGCGAGCGAGATTGAGAGAGGAGAAGAGATACGAGCTAGAGAGGGCAGAGAGTGGGAGAGAGGTGAATTGTATATGAATATAGGTTAAAAATTGTATATTATACATATGTATTTGCATATCCTGACGAATTATACGTATACAAACATGACTACCTATACAAATTCGAAGTCAGCCCACATAATTCATGTATAATATTAGTCGCGAGTGATAGTTATGGAAAACTATAGCTATGATGAGCAATTAAATAGTACAAATTTGCTTAGCAGCATAATTTTTCCCTATTTTTAAAGGCGAATTTTCATAAATAACCTCTATAATAAATTTAATTATGTTGCATAACTATAGTTTGTCTATTAATGAGTTGTAACTATAGTTTAAGTTGTCTCGTTTATATAATTCACAAGTGAGTTCATATAATTTGCGGGTACATTTGTATAATTGAGCAACTTTTGTGTATACTTGAAATAACGAAATTATATAAACATAAACATCTGAACTTTAAACAATATACAAATTATATTATACAAAATACAAATATATTATACAAAATTTGAATTATACAAACATACGAATTATACAAACTCGAAACCCCAGCCCGTGTAATTATCACTAAATATTGATCGTGAGTGATAATTAACTAAAATTATAGTTATGCTCCTAATTACTGTACTCCCTCTATCCACTTTTATTTGTCATATTGTGCTTTTCGAAAGACAATTGACTTATTTTTAAAGTTAAATTAGATTATATTAATTTGATTTTTAAAATAAAAAATTAAGATATTTAAAAACTATACAAAAAGTACTATACATTGTAATTTTTTACATTTCAATATGATGAAAATACATTATCCTAAAATTTTAGTCAAGTTTCATAGTTTGAATCTAAAAATAAAAATTTTGACAACAAATAGTGAACAAAGGAAGTATATGTTTACTTAACCATATAATTTCTCCTTTTCTAATTTTTTTAAATCTTAATTCTAACTTAAACATGTCAAAACATTGATATATCCAATATAATATCATATTGTATTATTAACGAAATCTCAAGTCCAAAATAAACTACTCTAATAACAGGAGGTAAAAAGTGAAAGAGAAGATAGAGCTGCTACACCTTTTAGGGTTGGAAAATATACAATTTGTTAACTTATTTTATAATTTCAACATGACTTTATGTTCAAATTTCAAAACATTTTGGACTTTGTAATTTGATGGGCTAAGTAGATTTTGATTTTGG